TTTTAATCAATGGACGAGTGTGTTAGGGCACGTGAAGGTGGAGACTTTTTCTCCCTAACTAAGATCCAACGGCTACATGAGTTTCATCTAATTTTCTATGAAAGGAAGTATCACAAAAATGGAAAGGGGGTTTACTACGGATATAAAATAACAAAAATACATAGTCAAAAAGCAAGAATGATAAAAAAATTGAGTATTTGTAATTATTAAAGTAATATTGTAATAATCATTCTTTTTTTTTATATTTGCTCGAAGACATTAAAGTAAATAACTAATATATCAGTATATTTTTGGACTATGTTTTTGTATAAGATATGCAGAAAGTACTTGTGTCCTACATCAAGTCATTAATACGTTATTAATTAACTATTTTAAACAAAAAAAGTACTTCTATTATCCAGTGGAGAATTATCTAGTGGTCTCATGGTTTTTCTTAAATATAAACGCAATTTTTTTTAAAAAACTGAGGTAATTTAGCCCCACAAAACATGCAGGGCATGACAGTGACGTCGTCTACTCCGTATCACGATTTTTCAAATTTTTGTCTTTTCTTATAAAGCAGAATTACGTTCATTAATATGTTTAATCGCATAGATTACATATAGAGTAATTCAAAAAACCAATAAAAAACCAAATAAATAACGTCAGAGAAGAATAGCTAATCCAAAAACAAGGATATATAGTAAGTTACTATTAGTAACAAACACATTATGGAACATACTGTTCCTTGGTATCTTAATAAATTAAAATTGAAAAACAATTCGTAAAATCGAGCATGTGATGTGAGTCTAATATTACTCTTGTGGGGTTCATTTATAAAACATTCTTCTTGTAGGAATCCATAATTTTGGTAGTTTTCTTGTTTTTTTTTTTTCTGAGAAAGAAATAGTTTTCTTGTTACCATTTGCATTTTACAACATCGTATTTCACCCCATAAGGCATAAATAACTGGAAGTTCAATAAATGATATCCAGATATAAAATTCAGTATAACTTATTGTTACAAAAACAAGTTTATATTAAAATAATTCACAAATTCAATGTATTTTTTCTTTATTGGAAAGGTAACTTTTTTTCTTCAAAAAACACTAAAATTTTAAACATTAAAAATGTTATGTTAAAAACCACTAATTATTCGGATATCTTTTATACATAAAACCATAATTCTGAATAAAAATTTAGCATTTATACGTCTTTAGCTTATTTGTATAGTCCATACTCAATGGACTATTGATCAATTCTCTAATAGATAGTATAGATATTGTGTAATTGTAGTGATTAATATGGTTACAAAAAGAAATATGTAGCAATTAAAGTATTAGTTAAACAATAAAATATGGGGTAATAAACAATATTAAATAACTTTTTAGGGGTTTCGAAAGATAAAGCAGGTTTTTTTATTTAGATAAAAACTTTTGAAACGAATTTAAAAAATGAGCTGAAATGTAAGGACTAAAGAATAAATAAGTACATAACACCCCATAAATGCGTGTTCTTCTTTACACTGTTCATAATTTGTCTTGTCCATATTTCTGTGTGCTTTTTGGGAGCTTCTCGCCGGAAAAGAGGTATGGTTTTACAAATTTTCAGTAGCAACAAAGAAAAAAGTTTGGCTTCATATCTCTTTTGTTCATTTAGGGATTTAGATTTGAGATCTTCATATTTGGTGAAACTTCA